GAATATGGCGTTAACAGAACACACCCATCAGGTGGCATTGGTTTCCTTTCCTCTTGCGTGTATATTAGGCCTACCGTCTATATTTATGTAGGCCTAGATAGTGTATTCGCTGCTTCTGATATTGATGCTACCGAACGATGATCGAACCAAACTTTATCATTTCTAATACAAACAAAGTAAATAATGATTTTGCTACTTTTTGTGTCATTTACTTTGTTGCAATGTTCTTATGGCCAGCTGGAGGTGGTAAAGGATAGAATCAAGCCTAGGCCTGTCATTGGTGCAAACGGTAAATACAGGGTCAAACACTACCGGTGTGTACAACAACTTGGGCGACATTATTGTTCGCCTTCTGTCATAAAAAAAAATACCATCATTACACTAAACTAAGCAGCCTGGTTTAGACAGACCTTTGGAATTTGAAAGTTTTAAACAATTTATAAAAATCAAAGTTGCGCAAACATTTATCTCGATCGCTGTTTCATTTTCGCGTAGCGAGTTATTGGATGTTTATTTAATCTCTAGTACGGTATTTATTGAAGTAAAAATACCGCATCCCGTTGCCGCCTAACGCGATGTTCGCTAGTCAGTTCGATGTAGCTCAACAGCAGCCCGAACGGCAGTAGCAGAACCAGTAGGACCATTTCCTTGCAATGAATGAAATGTGAGATAAATTACTAAATAATGGATAAAATATATAATTGAAATAATAATAATAATAATTTAACTGCAAAAATCTGTGTAGCACTTTCCTGAAAATAGGCCTACTGATACTGGACCGAAGCCATCAATTATGATGTTGGCCTATATAAGAAGAAAAAGAGAAGAAGAGAGAATAATGTAGAAAGCTACTTTAAGAAACACGGGAATACATGTTAACGTCGAGAAAATAGTTTAATCGTGGCATCGTCTGTTTAAAGCAGACGACAACATACCTAGCTAGTCTGGATCAGAAAATGATTACATAAAAAACAAAAAGAAATTAGCCGAGTAGACTAGACAACGTCTGATGTAAATATATTTACATGTGGATAATCTTTTGGTAATTTTGGCAACTGAACAAGTTGCAGTGAGGAAGTGTGATTCATATATAAAACTTGAGTTGTAAATTTGGCCTACTCTCTAAAACAATGCCTTTACCGGACGAGATGTACCGTACTCAGTTGAGTCAAAAGTGTTCCTAATTTTTTTTTTAAATCCATTCATCAGCTGTATAACAAGCAACACAAACGTTATCCATATACGATTAATCAATGAGTGCTTGGAGGAAAGGATAGTCCAAAGTTACAAAAACGATCGACTATCATTCAAATTCTGTTACACATTTTTTCATATTTATATAAACTTGATGGCGGTCCACTGACCATGCGCATTTTGTGCGGAAATACGCTAATTTTACTTGTTTCCATTATTTAATCAACATACCTTTAGGTGCCATTATGCTTTATATCATATGTCAATCGAAGCGTTTATTATTTTAGATATATTAGGATTAGCAACACTATTGACTGCGGGATTAATATGCTGTATTTGATTTTTTTTTGTAATTATTAACAAACAGAATAGTATAATTTCATGTATGCATAGATCTACACATTCATGTTAAAGTTGAGTTCAATACTGTAGGACTACACAGAAAATAATTTCCTTTTCTTCCAAAATAAATTATGTGTTTGTATTGTGACAAAAACGAAGGTACTCTTAGGGAGGAATATAGAAATATATATTGATATAAAGTATTAAATTGTTTTCTTGCTGGAATCTGTTTCAAAGGTTCAAAGAACTTACGTAATATTCATGAGTTCGGTAGTTTCCATGTGTGATAAGATAAGCAGTATTAACCACATGGGTTATATTGAATTTACTTACATGAAAAGTGCATGGGTCCAACTCATTTATTCAAAAAATGAGCGATTTAAAATTTAAATAAAAACCTTACAGGTAAAACAATTATTTGATA